CTGTAGCAGAGGTCAGGAGATTCAGTAATAGTGTTACTGTCGACTGTTTACTTTTGTCTGTCTTTAGCTACAAAGAAACGATGCATAAAATGTAAACATCCTGTGCTGTTGACCCTTTATTGGCCATGATGCAGAAATAAGGCATCATCTAGGCATGTATTCACGAAATACACAAGCACAATTGCTGAACGATGAAATGAAATGTGTGGTTGAATTAACAATTAACCAATCCACTCACCTCCTTGAACCATTTTATCTGGCCTCTAGGCAGAGTTTCTAAGAATTGCAGGGCATTGTGCTGCAAAGATGTCACATCACTGCAGAGCTCCTTCTCTTGCAGGCTGCAGATATCATGCAGTAAATGTCCAAAGTCAAAGGTTGTCTGCTCCATAGCTGACGGGATGCAGCGCTGATACAGCCGCAGAACTTTCAGCAGGATGATCAATAATTCAGTGAGGTCTGGAGTTTGGAGGCTATCCTCTGAAAATACAAGAATATATTACTCAAAAGTAAGACAGGAAAAATTGTAGGTGTGAACAATAATAATACTGTCTGCATTGAGGTCAAAAACTGTCATGCTTACAATACTTAAAAGCAAATTCAGTATTCAGTTAGAATTTGTTAACTTTTAACAATACTAGAATTTATTTGTAAGCATTGCTACACAATAGCTTAGTTTCCCTAAAATCTCTACACTTTTGTTACAGCTTTTTTCTGTCTCTTATACACATCTAGATGTGTATAAGAGACAGGTATTAAGAGGCAATGTACTATAATTATAGAGAAAATTAGGCAATTTCATAAAAAAGAAGGTATGCTAATAAAAATTACTATTTTCAAAAATCTTTAAATGCGTTTTTCTCAAAATGCACTTTTCCACATTCGCCACTACGTTATATAAGGGACGATAATCAGTAACTTTAAAGGTTTTTAACAAATTTTAATGTTTTTATTAATTTTTAACCAACTTTTATGTAAAACTTTTTATTTATGGGACCACAACGGAAGTAAACCGCTTAGGTTTTATTGGACTATCCTAAGCTTTATATGTTTTACTAAATTAACTATTTTAAATTTTTAGCATTGTTCATTGTTATGTTTGTATGTATTGTATTGAATTTTGCTCAAATATATTTGAATTTGAATTTTAATTCTGTTTGCTTTTCTGTTCACCACTCAATGCCGTAGCCAGGATTTTCAAACAGTGGGCAATGCCAGGGTGGACCCACTTTACGTGTAAATTCAAATAATGTGGACCATTTTCTTACATGTTAACTAATTTTACGCAAAAATATGAAAAATCTGGACCCACTTTTCAAAAAGTGGACTCATTTTATGCATAAAATTTCATAATGTGGACCCATCATTTTGTAGACCAATAGAAAAATTGTGTAGGAATGTCCCAACTGTCTTAATAGCTAGCTACGGCATTGTCACCACTTTTCTGTTTCAAGGCATTATTCATGTTTTTTTCCCCTGTTGTTCTGGATCGCATAGAGACGTATGTTATATGCGCTATACAAATGCACAACCATTGACCATTGAAAAGATCATAATTAACCAAAGTTAAAAAGAAAAGACAGGTTATGACCTTGTGATGGACAGGTAAATAGCGACAGCGCCCTCTAAAATGAAATTTCAACCATAAAGATGGCGTGTCCTACCAAACAACATGTGGACATCGTGGAGTTCAGAAAAAGTCGACTAAACACTGTCAAGGTTAGTTTATCACAACAAAATGCACTCGTGTAACTAAGTAGTTGTATTAGTAAAGACCAGTAGCCCCTAAAGAGGCTAGATAGATAAATAGACGCCTAAAAAGGCCTACCGGAGTTTGTCTAGCTAGGCTCTGGTGTAGGTAGGTAGGAAGGAGGCTAGCCAAACCAAGAGGCAAGGCCACCTTTTTAGTGGGAGTAGTTTGGTGGTAGCCTGGAAGCCTGACTTTCATAGGCCTTCGTTGGTTCTAGCCTGACCTTAGTTAGGCTACCTTGGCCAGGCCTAGTAAGGTCATTCAATTTATTTTCTCTTATTTATAATTAAGTTTTTATTTTACTTTGCGTTAACTTTATTGGATTGGATTGGATACGCCTTTTTCACGAATCGGTAGACATCTTGAAGTGATGACAAACATTGCGAATCAGCGGTGCGTAACCAACAGAAATAAGATAAGCTTTTGGGCGGATTTTTTGACATCATGTTATTTAAAAAATCATAACTCCATAACGGGGCGTCGTATCCAAAAAAAATACAGGAGTTTTTAGCAATATTAAAGAGACCAGCAGAAGATTGCATTAAAATTAGTGAGAATTGTAACATCTGCAACCTTTATAAATAAATGTCCTCCACCTAATTCTTGTTTACTTTACATTTACTTAATTTTTTATGTTTTCTTTACATTATTTTAGGTGAGACAAGCTGTTTTAGCATTATTTTCACAACATAAACTGAAGCAACAGTCCAATTCAACCTTATTTAGCGATGAAAAATACTTGCAAATTCAGCTTACAACATGGAAAATTTCTGGTGGCAAGAAAAAATTGCTCAAAATGTAAGTTGAGATCTTTTAGGTTTTTCATACACATTCACAGCTCAGTGTCACACAGCTAATGTAAGTATTCACTGTTGTTAATTTCAGTTTTTTCCTGTATAATATAAAAGCAGACAAAAAAAGTCATATTACCACTCCTGTCACATTAATAATATTAAATAATAACACATTAATTACATTAAATAATATTTAATGTATCATCATATTTTTATTGATTTTCACCAGTAATTTACCACATCCAGTGCGAAGTGATGATGTTGATATTTGTTTAATATCAAGAGATGAACCAGGTAAAGATAGCGAGTCCTGCATACAACATGTTCAAGATTTGTTTCAAGAGAAAGGTGTCAGTAATATTAAAGAGGTTGGTGTTTCTATAAATTATCTATCATTACCAGTGGTGGCTTCAGAAATTTGCTGACATGGGGTTTGGCAATCAAAATAACGTAATTTGGATAGGCAAATTAAAATTTTTGATCTGACGAATTTGTCATGTCGTCGGACGACTGAAGATTCAGGCCTGTCCGACAAGGGGAAATTCCCCTTGTCCATGTGAGGGAATTGTCTGCTTGTGGATCATGGATAGGAAATTTATGTCCATGTGAATGAGGTCTATTAAGCTGGATAGTGAAACAAAGATAGTGAGCACCAGGTCATTGAGGGTGAGCAGTTCATGTGAGGGAGGTGTGCTTGTAAATGAGGTCTTTTAAAGTGGATTGTGAAAGGCGATATAAGTGAGAATTGGTCAGTGATGCAAAATTAGTAATTGTTTCCTTATACATCCAAGGAAATCACTACACTGAAATGTCTACAGGTTGAATAATTGATATTACTAAATTATAGAGTACTACAGTGTTACGTCACGATACCACATGATACTACTCCGTTTCTATCGACAACACAAAGTGCATTCAACCAATGCCATTTTCTCCACTGACAAACCATTTATCCCAATTCCTAATGTAATTATTAAGAAGTTTTATCTTAATTTTTCTTTGTAAACGTTAATTGATGATTAAATGTGTGTTCGAAAACTAATATAATGCGAGCTTTTTTGTACATTTTGATGGTAAATTAGGTCACGTAAAATAAAACAATTGGTTAGCATCCCCGCCCGACCGTCGGAAAAGCCCCTGACCTGAATTTTTTTTTTTTTTTTTTTTTACAAAAAACTCAAAAACTCCATCTCCCGAAGGCAATTTATATAGGCCTAGGCTTGTTTACCATCCGTCTGAACGCCAGCCGACTGGGCTTATCCCTGCAGTTCATTCCATCATCGTCCCGTCTAGGCCTAGGCTAGCCTAGTCCTTGCTTCTATCTAGAAAAGGCCTAGTTTTATAGTAGTAGTATAAAAAGAGTGTATTTGTATACACGGTACAGCCGATGCAAAGCATTAAGATTTAATCAGGATTAAGTTTATATTAGCAAACTAAACTCCGATCCGATGCTTACGTCTCATGCTTTGTGCAGAAAAGCCAAGTCGGCTAATCAGCGCGTTGGTATTTCCATCACTTTGGAAGTAGACATCCACAGCGCGAAAGAGAAACAAGGAGGAACCGCTCTGTGGTGACTGGAGACAAGACAACAAACATGGCTGTGCCCATCAGTTTAAAACTGCGGCATGTTCACTTCTTACCTGTGTGCAATATTTCACGAAATAAAATTTTAAAGATAAATTTTCATAGGTAGGATAGCAAAAATAATTTTATTACTTGAAATATAGTGGCGAGATAGTGCATGCGTATATTAGCGAGCGAGCCGTCCGGTCGTCTTTTGGACTGCCTACAATTATTTAGGACAGCAACTTTTACCGTGATGGCTTGGACGGCTTGGCCTAATTGGGCCAACAACAAACACAGTATGGTCCAGTTATAATTAATGTCCAGCAAACACAAACTTAAACACAAAGCATGGAATATTCACATGCTGGTACAGTGACGTGATGTTTCCAAACAATTAGATGTCAAAGTGTTTATCAGCATAAACATAGCACATGATACTAGTAACAGTATTCACTATTGAGTATTATCACTATATGTACATACTCAATCACATAAACCATCACAAATAGTAATCAATTGTACAAAATGCCAGTTCAACAATTACGTTTCTGTTTATGAATGGACAATGAATTATTATACGACTATGACAAACTTCAATCTTCTTATTTTGCTGTTGTTATTTTTATTTTTAATTTCACATCCAACCGTAATTACACTCGCCACTTAGGATGGAATGCTTTGTAAACCTGTTATTGATATCATCAGTTCTGTAAACATTTTTCTGCATGTTTTAAAACTTCATATATAGGGATTTAAATATGACTGTTATTCATATAGGCAAAGCTTATCTGCTTGATATAGATGAATTACATGATTTCTTGTATCCAATTTTGGCGTCTGTTGTTTTCCTCTTCTTTGTTTTGCTAATTTTCCTTCCGACGCTGGTTTTTCATGTTCTACGAAAAAAAAAAAACCTCCCTCCCTACCATGAAATTTGATACCAAAAGGATGCTAACCAATTATTGCCAATGCTTATTCCAGAAAGCCTATTCTAAACAATTAAGACTATGAAGTCATTCAGGCGTAATGAAAGGTAACCAACCTTGTTGGGGCATGAGTATTGTTCCATGTGCTTGATCCAGTGACCGGGGCAATAATGTAAAGCGCATAGAGGTTAGTCTACAATATGCGCTATATAAGTTGACAATTATTATTACTGTATTATTATTAACTTATTTAGGTGATACCATTGAAAGACTTGATTGCAGAGTACAAATCATTTGAATCAAGGAGAAAGTTGGTGAGAATGTACGATATGTTCTTGGCTGACAAAAGAATCTTTCACAGACTTGCACCTCATACTGGAAAGGAATTCTACAAGAGAAACAAGTAGGTTATATATTTTGTACAATTTTAATTAACTTTCATTTAACAGCAAGCAACTTGCATCTTTGAATTTGGGATCCATTCCTCTGTTGTTCGGATTGTTTATTGACATGGGCCCAATGAACATGACTGCAGTACCTATCTAGGTATTTTGTTTGCTTGGTGATTAACTTATTATGATTGTTTTTCTTTAAGATATCCCATCAGGGTGGATATGGAGAAATTTTTTTTTCACAGCTCAATGTGTGTTGCAACTACAGAGCACAGTGTTGAAGATGCTGTTGATAATGTAATTGCTGCAGTTGAAGGGTTAACCACGAAAATCTCAAATGGCTGGAATAACATCAAAGCGCTTCATCTAAAAGTTGAACACTCAATCGCACTTCCTATTCATGAATCACTTGTATTTGAAGATTGGTGGGCCGAAAACAAAATTTTCAAAGAAGACATTCAGAAAAGTATGTTCTTGCATTCTATATTAAGGCTCTTGCCTTCCAGTAAAATTGTATTAAGTTCAGTCCTTAAATTAATGTCAGAAAATAAAAATGAATAAAATAAAGACCAGCTCTACTCATGCCTTAAAGCCAGGCTCTGGAGGGAAAAAATTGTCTGATATGCGGTACCCTTAAAAATGGTGGTCTGCCCCTTACCCCTCCTCAGTTTTTAAATGCAGTTACACATACAGTCAATTTTGCCTAACTCGAATAATTTCTAGTCATATCTTATTTTACATGCCAAATTGTTGTGTTTTCCATTAGTACAACCTCGATTTTACGTATGATACGGGACCGGAGGGTGTACGTAATTCGGGGATTCCAATAATTAAGGTTAGGTTAAATTTGTGGTGACCTTTGACCTAATGCGTACACAACTGTCAATAAACATTTGTTATAAACGAATCTGCAAGTTAGATTTTATCTAAGTCAAACAATTTTTCAATGGTATTTTGGAATTGACTTAGGCAAGTTTAACTGTATTCTAAAAATAATCATTCCAAATACAGTATCCCCTTCAGTAATCGACCTTTGACCGGAGTGTCAGACTGAAAAACTTTTGCCGACAAGGGGTCCGACGGAGGAGCCCGAACCAGGCCTGGCCAAATGCAAGAATTAGCGGGAAAGTCGATTTACTAGTTGTATGAAGCCCCTCACTATATGGTGGGATAAACGACATCAATGGACCTTTCTACAACGTTTTGGATATTATTGCTAAGGTGTAGTACTTAAGACTGGCTATTAGAATAACATGTCCTGACTGATCCATTGATTGTTACTTTTTGGCAGGTCCCCTTCTCATTTTTTCTTCTGCTTAATTTTTATATTTGATTCTTTCTGTAAAATGGAATGTTGGCTACATTATTATTATTATTACAGTTACCTGTCTTTTGCCATTCTTTTTATTTTTTTATTATATTTCAGTGAAAAGGCAGTTAACTTTGGAAAAACGTACAGCAGAAACAGATGACAAAGAAGAAGTATCAGAACAGAAAAAAGCCAGGAAAAAAGTGAAACGTAAAACAAAATGAAGGACTTAAAAGTCTAAGCAAATCTAAGTCTAATTTTTTTTAAATGTAAAACTTTGGAACTTGCATTAAATAGCTGATAAAATTATAAATTATCTCTCTTCACCTGCCTATTTACAATTTAATACCCAGCTGGGGAAAATAACCAGTAATAATGGGATACCTTCAGGACCACAAGTTTCACCTATATCGAGGTGTTCCCTTTATAGTTGGCCATAGTGTTAAAAGATATACAGTCCTTTCCCTGTTTCGTAACAGAGTTCTATTGTAGTTTAATTATTTTTTTCTCATTCTGGACAGCACCACCAACGTGTAAATTAATATGTAGACGGAATAAGGAATCCAGGAAAAGAAAAAGAAATTGAGTAAGGGATGCCAAATAAATTTGGTATGGTGCGCATTAAGTGCAGTAAAGGGTAACCCAAAATTAGGGCCTGGAACTAAGGGCAATCTCGTCTCCAGACCTACCCTGCTGGCATTAATCGTGGCATTCATATTAGCATGATAAATTGAATAAAATAATAATAAGTTTAGATGTTAATTTATGCTTTTCTTTCTCGTACATTGTCCTTTTCATTCTTTTTTAGGCAGCGGTGCCACAAGCATCTATTTACGTGCATCGGCCTGAACAACATTTAAAAAGACAAACTCTTTAGTTAAAAGTCATTATAAACTGTTTTTATTAGTATTACACTATAATAAAATAATACATAACTAATACTGTATAACTAAACTCACAACACCAGAATTAACCAGATACAACAACTTAAGTTTCATCTACACAGCAAATGTCAGTATAATAATTTGAATAGGCTTAGATCTCCTTCAGCAGGTTAAAAGAATTACCAGCGGGTGGATGTTGCATTTGGTAAGTCTGTGGAAAGAAAGTTGAGATAATTCAATCTATTCATAGCATAAAAAGTTCAGATTCTGTTTTACAGTGCAATCATGGTATTGAGAGGTTTGAAAAGATGTGTATA